GATGAACCGAAGGAAAATTTTCCTCCATGAAAAAACCATGAAGTGTGACTCGCAGTTTTCCTTCCCCGCCTGTGATGACAAAATTCCTATGGTGAACTCAATTCCCAAATCCGTCTGAAATAAGGAAGGAACAGTGGCTTGAAACAACAGGCACAGTTAGCATCAAACTCGCAGTTGAAAAGGAATCAATTATGCAATGCTCTGCATGCAACGACAATCATTACACTTCTAACTGAAAAAGTAAACACGTCATATGAGCAATTTCTTCTGACAACATGAAAGTAGTCAGCTTTAATTTGATCCCTTGGAAAGTTTGCTGGAACCAGATGGAGTGATTATTATTCTCTAATCGATATCGATGTACTTGAAACATACATTTTCAGTTTGATCACTGGCTTACAATCTGGAACTGAAATCGTTCCCAGTTATTTAAAGCTTCAGTTTCCTAAGGCCTTCAATTCTTAACAAAGCTTATTTCCTCTTGATTGGCAAGATATCTTGTTCTAAAAATAAATACTGTCAAAGATGTTCTTGATCACACTCTTACCCAGTTTAAATTAGCAAATCTAATTTCCTTTTACAAAACTTCTACAAAAATTTGTTTCACTACGAGCGAACGCTGTTGCAGCTGCAGATTAAAAATTTTCAGACTAAACCAAAAACCGGAATATGCCCAAAATCATACAGCCTTCAGAGTACATTTAATGAAAAATTATTTTATAAATACTATTTCGGATATCAGTAACTTTCCATCGTTGAAGTAAATGTTTCTGTGCTTTCTGGGATTAGAAACAGTTTTATCAGTCTTGGTTGTTGTAACACCGTTCGTTCGCAAAAATTCGACGAAAAGATCCCTTTTTTGTTCCCAAACCAAATTCAAATTACCACTCGGTTTAAAATGCCGAAGATTCTCGCAAGATCATGAGGAATTCGTGTATTCTAGTGTAGCAGGATCCAACCGAATATCAGGGAAAAAAAATGAAGTCATTAAAAGCTGAAAACACTTTACTGCATACATTAAAAGCTAGATAAGAACTGAAACACTGAAAATTTAAGCGACAGGCAGACAATCTCTTTATCATGAAGAGAGAAAACGAATATTTAATTGTAGAAAAATCAACCTTCTCATAAAACAACGGTGAAATTATTCCCTGGCAATTATTATTAGCAGTTTCGGTGTAATTTCCGTATTTCCTTAGTTTGCACAAAAACGAAACAGCCACTAAACGTTGAGTTGTGTTACCATGGCGTCCAACCACATGAAGGCTGATTAAAGTCAGAAGCAAATTTGGCAACCTGAGTAAACGAAAAAAAAAAATGATAAAAGAACCATGACGAATCATTTAAACAGAAAGAAAAATATCGCTGACGCGACAGGATGTGATTCGTTGAAAATATAGCTCTCCAAAGAAAAAGATTTTGTTGGAAAAAAAACAAAACAAAACAAATATACTGGTGTAGAAAACCGTATATCGAGTCCATCGATATTCACCACGTTACATGTTGTACACGATCATTGAGGGCCTATCACTTGAACCTCATCAAGGAATATTTTAGTTTTTGGATTTCTGTATATGGTGAGATTCTTGGTATTTAAAAATAAACATTTTTCCTTAATTCTGCAGAATGATAAGAATAAAGTCTGTTGGTGTTGCAACATAAATATAAGCTCGACCTCCCAGAAAGCCAACATAGGACCGAAAGGAGACTGCTGTCTCCAATATACCGTAACTGTGCTAGTGCTGAAACTATATCATACTACGAGGAAAATACTCCAGTGAACTGAGAAAAATTTGTCTTTCGCAGACGCGTTTTGGCTCCCTGCGTTAAGGAACAATTTTGATATTACTATCCTTATAAAAGACAGGTGTCGGCGACTCTTCTAACAAATGAAGTATGCTTCCATGCAGTAGACTAGTTTTGAAAACTATAATCAACGAGGTAACATAAGAATGACAAAACAATGCACCCCGATTGCCACTGCGGGCGTCCAATTAACGATAACAATATGACGAGCCGTGAGCGATATTTTTGATTAAGAAGTTCGTGACTTTTTAATGTGTGTAATGGCATATCTGTCACGGTTTCCATTGTAGGAGTTGACAAAGCCATCTATCAGCGATTAAATGCACTGATGGCGGTCTAGTTATTCTTCTTTTTCTCGAGTACGTGCAGGAACGAAAAAAACACAGGTCAAGGCGCGGCGACGGAAATGCTACGTATGCAAGACTTTTGAGGCTCCAACCACGGGGTTTAAGGGATCGAAAGTTTGTAATTTTAAAAAGAAAACAAACTAACCGCAGTTTTGTTCAAATCAGCTTGCAAGACTAAGATGACTAAGATCGTCCCGACCACACGCTGTCACATAAATGATGTATGTCATGCCACTAGCGAATGGCTTCATTACAATGAAAAGCAAATCAGTAAGAGGGCGTCAACTGATCGTTTCCTCCAGGCCTGGCCCCTCAGTCAGTCTACATAGCTACACATTTCACAATAGAGTGTGATCACACGTTGCTCTCTCCTCTCAAGTTCGGACGCATTCTTGATCGCTCGCTGATTTTTCTCGCGTCTTGCCCCGATTGGAATAGTCACCAACGGTGTTTACCCAACGTTGACAGCGTTTTCCGAGTAGTAAATTCGACTCCTTTTGAAAATATCATGGCTCCTAAAACGTTTAAATGGACTCTAGGACTCTTGAACAACGCCAGTAAGAAATATCTCACGCTCGAGACATTCGGTTTCAAGCTGAACGTCGACGGAGTTTCAATGAAGAAGAAGCAAATATGGACGCTGGAACAAGACCAAGGCAGTGATATCTGTTATTTTCGGAGTCACTTGAACCGGTACTTGTCTGCTGATCCGAAAGGCAACGTGAAGTGTGAAGAAGAAGAGCGTACAGAGGAAACGAAATTCACGGTGGAGACGCAAGTCAGCGGAAACTGGGCGATAAAGAGCGTCTACGGCGCATACTTCGGAGGATCGGGTGATCAGCTGAAATGCGTGGCTAAACCATCAGCAACAGAGCTCTGGTCGATTCAGCTCGCAATGCACCCGCAAATCAATGTGATGAGCTCGCGAAGGACACGCTACGCGCATCTCGACACCAAAACCGAGACCATAACAGCCACAGAGGTTATTCCATGGGGAGCAGACGCTATGCTTACCCTCGAGTTCGACGAAAACCAGGGAAAGTACGCTTTTGTAGCCAGCAATAAAATGTACCTGAACAGCGATGGCTCTCTGAATGAAGACCCTAGCAAAAAGAGTCTGTTCACCATTGAGTTTCACGAGGGGGAGGTGGCCTTCCGAACGGACAAAGGCAATTATCTAGCAGCGGTGGGAACAGGTAAAATCCAAGCCGGGAAAAACACTACCGTCGGAAAAGACGAGCTATTTGTTATTCAAGACAGCCCGCCGCAGGTTTCATTCATCGGCCAACGAGACCGACGACTATCGATTCATCAAGGTATGTATGGCTTGTTGTGGTTGAGTACAAGTAAAGCTTGGTTTATTTATTGTTCAAACACGAAACTTTTCACCGATGTCGACGAGTCATCGATAGTAGCGACGTCGATGTGATTTTCATTCACCAAAATGCAAATTTTCCTCTGTTTACCGATAAATCAACAGGTTTAAAGTTGCTTTGTTTCGAATCCTCTATTTGTTTATTGTGGGAGCCGAATTGAAAAGAAAAGATAAATGGATTTGAGATCGATAAACTTAAACACGTGCAACTGGACTCTCGGAGAATAATAGAAAAAGCTTTCGAGCGAAAAATGCCATGAAATGGTGGTCATTCTTGACTCGAGATTCAACTCGAGAAAAAAATTACAACAAAGCTAAACTTAGATCAAGAAATATTAATAATGAAAAAAATTCCCAACTGGATTGGTTTCCGACTGTGTCCTACACAGGGCCCTTGCGGCAACTGTGTTCATAATAGTTTGGCACCATTTAAACAATGGAACAATAAAATCGTTGTGGTCTCGTGAATGAAAAATCATACCAATAACTTTTTCAAAGGCAAACCGAGAACGAGGTGAATTTGAGAAGGAGGGAGGTTCTTAAGAAAGTTGCATGGGCGAGTTGCTGGAATCTTGACAAGCATTTCCGTGCAGCAGAGTCAGCTGATTCATGTGGCGCTTAATTGATTGATATTGATCAAGCGTTCAATCAATAGTTATTTGTCACGAAATCTCTTTTTTAAAAGGTAACAATAGTCATAACCTCTTCGATTGGATACGGCTCGTTTCATCGCAAGGAAAAACATTCAATTTTCTTGTAGCGATCAAAATTAAAAAAAAAAGAAAGAAAGAAAAACAAGACGGCAATCCACAGCTTTTACTCTCATATTTCTATTTTGTTGACACTCAGACGTCCGACGGTCGCCTCTCGCTCAAAGAGTTTCAAATGTTTGCTGTAGAAACTATTGTTCAGATCGGTGTTTTCATTTGCGGAAACTTATTGCACTTAACTTGATAAAACAAGAAATATTCTCAACATCGAATTCTAGGAGAAACACAGCATGATGATGGCGATGAAATTATCGAACGAGCTGAAAACTGAAATTTTCTCAAATGATAACCCAGTAAGACAGTGGATGATGAGATTGGCCCGAAGCAAAATTCCCTTTTGTTTGGTATTTTGCCCTCTTTAAAATGTTCAATTTTTCGGTCGAATTCTGTGTAATTTATTACCTTAAAAGGTAATATAGGAAGTGTGAAGCCTTAACTCAATAAGAGATCCTGGCATTAAATAATAATGTTATCCTTTTTGTTATGATAATTACCAGCGATAACAGTTGTACAGCCTGAAAGGTGTTTCGTGGTAATATCAGTCACTGTATATAAAGTAAGAATATATCCAACTGGAATGTTGTGGATTTTTGAATTGTTAAACAATGCTCAAAACTTATCAGTTCTCATCTGTTTAAATTATGTGCGGTATGGCGGGTCATGAGGTTTGTGTTCAAGAGCATTGTTTGGTTGTCAAAGACTTAATATTTGTCACAACAGGAGTGGAAATGTAAAATCAGCTTATCTTGATACGAAAAAAGCTATTTAATACAAAATATCCTTAATATGCAACATTTGGAGAAAAAATTATTATACTGCCTTATCTTGATCTTTAGAAAACAAAATATTTCCTCTCAATTGAATTGAAATGTCTTCATTTTAAAGTTCTGGAATCATTGAAATAAAGTTTTTTGTGTGCCCTTGGCAAGATTTCCTGTGCTGTTAAAACATAGTCAAAGGCTAAGTCATTGACAGATTAAAGCCTAGGTCATGAACTTTCATACAAAGACACCTTAATTTGTTGTGCTTTTGAGACACCTAATGTTCCTCTTTGTGGAAACTGATAAGAAAAAGTTTGCCTAGGGGAGCTAACAAGTGCTCAAGTTATGTCTCGACCTGTCGTTCTCTGACTGGGCAAAGCTATGCTGTATACAAGCTGTTTTGCACGTGTTGCACTTACACCTAAACAGTATGTGCATTACAACAATTTTCTATTGAGTCTTGCAAATAATCCAGGATCCTATGGCTCTTGTATTACACTCAAGTCTTTTGCAATAACTACTCAACCTTTCAGGTTCAAAGCTAAACCTTAGTGCAACTGTGTCACTTGCATATTTCCACACTTCACACTCCTCATACTTATTTTGCTCATTTCCCTTGAGTTCCCAGCAGCTTGTTGCAACGTTTACAATGATTTAGGTCTGCTGAATTTCTGATTACTTTGGATTCATGGCACTTAATATAAAGGTGCTCTGACTAAATGAATAGACTTACACTGTACCTTCAAACTTGCCCTTTAATAGGAATGGATGTGATCCTTAGTCGCCGTGATGAACTTGAGGACACTGAGATATTCCAGTTAGAATTTGACAAGACCAGTGACAAGGGACGGGTAGCAGTACGTGGAACCAATGGCAAATACTGGAACCTAGGCGAGAAGGGCATGACAGCATCAGCAGAAGCACCAGGAGATAACTGCTGGTTTGAGCTGGAATGGCACGGCAAACAGATTGTTTTCAAAGCTGGAAATGGGAAGTACATCACAGGCAAGGACAATGGTCATCTTATCGAGGGCAGCGATGAAATTGATCAGGAGAGAGGGTTTCATGTGCCAGAGCTGGTCAACAGACCCATGCTGGTGCTGCGTGGTGAACATGGCTTTGTTGGAGTGAAATCTGGAAAAGATTTATTAGAGAGCAATCATTCTAAATATGATGTGTTCCTTGTAACATGCAAGAATGGCCTGTACAAGATCCGTACCGACTCTGGTAAGTACTGGTGCTGTGATGAAAAAGGCAACGTAATGTTGGCAAATGACGAAGCTGGTGCCCATGAGTACAGTATTGAACTTCCTAAGTACAACAGAATGGCAATAAAAGCTGCTAATGGACTTTACATTGAGGGCCACCAGAATGGATCCTTTTGTGCCACAGGAAAGTCACTTGGAAAAAACAGTTTATGGGAGTACTAAACCACAGCAGGCGTAGAATTAATTAACAATTTTCAAACTTAGAGGACAATATTTTTTAACCAAGTAAACTGGAAGCATAACAAATCATTTCCAAAAAAAATCCTTAAAGAAGCAAATTTAACTAATTTCTTCTTAGTCTTTGATGATATAGTTATTACACTGTAATTGTATCATAAGAAGGCTGATTAAGATCACTTCTGAGTTTCACTTCAGTTTTCACACTTAACCCTTTAACTCCCAAGATCTGATTGTCAATTCTCCCTTGTAGCTGCCACACATTTCCTTTTAAATTAATTATGAGAACTTAGTGCTAGATCAAGATAGCAGCTTCTACCTGATAAGTTTGAATATTCTCATCACCTGTTTGCTGAAGAATGTATGGATATTGTAGGGAGAAGTTTTATGTTAATCACTTCTGGGAGTTAAAGGGTTAAACAATTTAATTTTCATGGCTTTGAAGACCAGAAGAATTAACATAACAAAAAGGTTAGAATGTTGCTGCTACATGAAGCCCAGTAACATCTGTTTTCAACATTAAAAAGTAACATCTTCAATCAAAGTATGCAATAAGCTAAACATTGAAGCCACTGTTATTTTTACTATCATTATTGTTGTTGTTATCATTATTAGTTTGTTTACAATTAAATTCACTCAATGGGGCAAAAAAATTTTTGCTGGTAAATGACCTGAATTTCTCAATGTCAAGTCAGAATCCATATTAGAAAAACAAAACAAAAACAAGAAAACATTAAATGACAAAAAAGTTAAACATTATATTACCAAAATTCATTTATTTAGGTGGCAAAGAGTGAAGAGAAACGGTGAAGTTTTGCCAATTATTGGATAAGGTCAGAGAGTACCTCTACTGGCAATTTACAGTCTCAAAAAAAATACTAGACATGAAGTGTGCGTTCACTTAACTTACAAACCAGATCCCTAGACCAAGAGAGAACAGTATGCAAAAATTACTTGAAGAATACTTGTTAAATTAATCACAGTACTATCTATCTTACAGAAGATCAAGTTAGTATTTTTGGGTTTAAATGTCAAGGAGCAAATTCCCTACATCAAAAGTTGTCTCTTCACAAAATGAAGACTACTTACAAAAAAATTGAAATGGTGAAGTTGTAAACCCTGCTGTGGTTTTGAACTATGAATAAAACTGTTACATCCCTTTATGACTAATTTCCCTTGGTATTTTCATGTGTATTGATTATTTCCCACTCAAAATAACTTATAATGCTTGGTTAACATGACACATTCTGGCCTTTTGTTCTCTAGAGTTATTTTGGCAGGAAAACCTCAAAACTTTGCTACAGGTAATTTCTATTGTATGTGTCGCAAAATTCCTTTTGTTACATGCATTATGTTTCAGCAATTTAAGTTCCAGAAGCTTGCCTTTCAGTCTACATTTTTAGCCTCCCAGCATGTTTTAACCTTGCACACAAATTTTTTTTAGATGCAACTTTTCACTTTGAAGTAAGTAATATCACTTCCTGTCATGCCAAGCAGTACCCTTCCACTACCTAAAGTCAAAACATTTGAAAGCAGAAGGCACATAAGAAATAGGTGCTAGGTAATAATAAGTTCCATGTTGTTTCCTCAGATTATAAAAAAAAGAGGCTTAGAACTTTTTAAGTTAAAATACCCCTGGCATTCCACAAAGTTTCTACCAACCTGATCATGAAATTGATTCACACATCTAAACCTGTTCTGATAACTTATCAATCAGTCCCACTCCAAACTGAGAAATGGCTTCCATACAAACTTCCAGATTGAATTTCTATATTTGTACCACGTTTCATTGGCGATTGTGACAAAGGAAAGTTTAACCCTTTCACTCCCAAGATCTCATTAGTAATTCTCCTAACTATCTTCCATACAATTCTTATGATGTTAGTTCAGAGAATTTTGTATTGGATCAACTAACAATCCCATAATTGATATTCTTCTCTATTCTCATCACCTACCTGCTTGATATTGTATTGATATTGTTAGGAGAAATTCTGTCTTGGTCTCTTGTGGGAGTGAAAGGTAAAATAGCTAACAATAGCTGACTAAATCAGTAGTGATGGCCAACAACCAGCTCTTAATGACAACTCTACAGTTTGAACGACACATCCAAGAAATGGGTGTTGAGAAGAGCTCAACTTATTTGCTGTATGGAGTTATCAAGATTTATAGCATGATCATTTATAACATACGAAAGGAGAATTCATAATTAGATATCGGGAGATTGAGGGTAAAATCAATTTTAAGCCACCCAATTTTCCTTAGCAGCTAGTACTTAGAACTGTCAGAACACTCTTAGTGTGATCAATGACCAACTCAAGCTCAACTATCCATTATTTATCCAGAGTATAAAAATTAATAATTATGGGAAGAGCTTTGAAGCTTTCGTTGCAGTTATCATGACAGGTTTGCTCCAATAATTTCGGCATCTGCATAGCTTTTTCGGTATTTTGCAGTTTTGCATACAGCATACAAATCATCGTTCAAAGACATAATTAACACAAAAATTCAACTTTGAAAGAAACATTCTTCAATTCATTTTGACACGTCGCCCCTGGCTATCAAAGCAGTTATCTGACGATCGATCGAATGTGTTTCAACCTGTACTTTCCAAAAAACAAAAGAAATACTTTACAAATTGATATCTCATCAACGAGTTCTGTTCACCGCCTGTCAAGTGCAAATACTCTTCTGAAAGTTAGCACTGAAATAATTTTTCTACCTGAAGCACAGTGCAGACCGACAGATTTGCTGCTTCGACGGGTCTGGTGACGAACAGCTTACCTCTTAGTGTTAAGTAAGCCTCTTTTTTTCGGCATTTCACTCCGTCTCCTGTGCGAATTTACCACGGGCATGATTGGAAAGTTCTAGATTGGTCCATTTCCCGAGTGACTGTTCGCGTCTTCAGGCAGTGCGATCCAACCGTGTTCTGTGATTGGCTCATTTTTACACCATGGAAAATCTGTATCAAAGCGACTGTGTCAGGACTTTGAACAAGTGGATGGTGGATGGAATAAAAGCCCGAAAAAAAGTTGCCTTGCGCGAAAAGCCTCAAGATATGAATATTGATATTGCCACCGATATAATAATGATCTTGAGCTTTTTCATCAGATTGAATAATGAATGGACTTGATAGGTTGTTTCACATTTCCAAAAATCTGAACAGAAGCCAGACATTTCTATTATTTTAAAACATTATGGTCTATTTATTTCCTACAATTTGTTTAAATGTTCCGTCGTTTTAATAGTAATACATCCGAGGGGATATCCGAAAGCTCTTATTTCGACTTACGTACGGATTTATAAAGCTTAGACTGTAAGCCAAGATTCCCTCAGAAATGTCATTCCGTCTCTAGATTTTGTATTGGATTAGGTAAAGAAAGCCAAATTCAGCACAGTAAAACTATCTCACCGCGACACGCATCGTGACACACGTAGATCTACGAGAAGAGACTGGGCGGAGAGCAAACAACAATTTAATGGACACAGCTCCAAAAGCCTTGGTGAACAAAGACATTCCTGACTATGGTTTCCTAATCGGTTTTTTTTTATCTTTTTAGATCGTACCACTTTCAGAATAAATTTATATATCTTAGAGCCACTATAATATTCATACAGTGTAAAAACATGCGCGACGACGCCAAATGATTTCACGGATAAAAGATACTTTAATATTCGCTAATCAAATTTTATAGGCTAAGGGAATTTTCCAGAAAAAGGAGTACCTATAAATTTACGACCTTTTTTTCTTCTAAACCCCCTGTGACAAAAATATGGGTAGTAATAAGAATTTAATCAAACAAAGAAAACTACTATTACCCATAAAGCCACCTAAAACTATCGCGTACGCTTTCGTTAATTCGTCAATTATTGAAACCTTAGCTAGAAGGCAAGGGAGAAAAAGTAGTTTGTACCATGGGGGTGAGAGGCGGTCAAAACGAATGAGAGGGGATGGGAGAGGTGGTTCCCTCACCCTTTCCCGCCCCCTCCCCTCCACCGTCCCCTCTAACTCAAAATCAAACGTGGCCGGTCGCTTAAACGATCGCGAGCTTGTAACATTAACTCGCCCTAATAATACGCCTGCACTGTAGGCTATTGAAACCTGAACTGTATCCTCCAAGACAAAATGCCTCTCCATGATTGAATAACTAATATAAACTCTAGCCTTATAGGTCATTTGAGTCACCTATAATATAAAATTCCCAAAACAGTTTCGTTTCCAAAAATGGACTAACTAATATGACATTATCTATCACCGGGGCTCTGAGAACCCCAACGAGATGACAGCAGGGATCCAGTTGTTCAAAGAAAAAATAACGCTATCCAACGGATAAATCGCTATTCAGTGGATAAGTGTTAACAAAACATACTGTGCTATCCACCAGATAAAGATAAATAAGGTGGACAGCGTTATCCACCCTTTAAACAACCAGGAACCAATCTGTAAGTTAAAAGAAGTTCAAATATACAATCTCGCCTCTTCACGCACTCCTCTGTACCTCTGTATGAACTAACTGACCACCTGGAAGAGGATTAAATACATGTGTAACATGAAGTACTAGGAAGAAGTGACGCCATATTAACACACAAAAGTTGTTCACTGTGGGAATAGCAGCGAGCCAAACGAAATGACCTATTCGTACTCAAATCGGAGCCATTCCTAATTCGAATTATCCAACCACAAAACAGTGCTAGCATTTTTCATCGTTTCAAAGTTTTTGATTGAATACTTATTCTCTATTGTACATTTTGTTCTGTGCTACTTCTTTAACATAATCTAGACATCACTTCTGGCCCATTTTCGACGATATCATAAAGGCTATAGACCATAGGCATCGTCAGTGCTTGAAATGTGCCAAACAATCAAAACGGATATGACCTACATTTAAAAAAACCCAGTATCTTTTGCAATTATAAGGTTTATTTCTTACTGCTCTGCGGTGGATTGTAAAATCTTAAAGACTTGTGCAATCCTTACACATCCGTATCCTTAGTATCATAAATGAGGCCTCTGGATTCATTATTGTCAACGTCCACGTCGTTGTGTCCTTTAGTAGAGTCGTTGGCTGTACTGGCTAGAAGGTTACGTTTTGGTAACACAGGGGAATCCTCTTCTGTCAGACGCACCGACACTTTCTCCTGCGTTTTAACGTACATGGTCCAAGGTGAGACGTCTGCTTGGTTCTTCTCCGGTTGAAACAAGATCACGTACCACTTAGGGAGGTAGATACAACCCAAGATGTTGACAGCGAATAGGAAATCCACAAAGGCCAAGCCAAAAATCTTTCCTTTTCCATTTACGCCGTAGTTGATGGTGACGTAGAGGAAACAGATCACGTACCAATTGAACATGCAAAGCGACGTCCAGCGCACCTCCATGTCATTCTCGGGGGAGATCTCCTCGCTCATGGACATAATTGAATACACGGTGGCCACCGCCATGATGTAGAAAATGACGACCAAAAAACCGAATCCCTCATGGATGGAACACTCGATGTACACAGTGAAAGGGTCATCCGTAGGGTGGCGTAAAATCTCGTTTGGCAGAAAAAACGCTATGACAATTGTAACACCTATGTGGATGAGAACTGTTGCTATGGCAAACAATATACGCGGCGTACAAATGCACTGTCCCCAACTCTCCTTGATTTGACCTTCCGGGTCGTAGTACCGGTTGTCGACAAATATGCTTCTAGCTATTAGGGCAGCTAAGGGAATACCAAGTGCTATGATGAAGAACCCTCGATAACCCTCACAGGAGGAAGCGCTGGGTTTACTGAGGAGGGGGACTGGAATCAAGAAGAGAATAATAACAAAAGGCAACAGAACTAACATAGCATTCCTGGCTCGACGCATCACAGGCGTGCCTCTGTTCTTGAACAGCACTACTGCAACGTAAATGCTAAAACACATTCCTGCCACCATGATGAACAACATAACCAGGCTGCCAGCGTCGCTCCAATAAACGTAGTCTTCAAAGTGAGTGATGCATTCAGTCTTTGCAGCGTTGGCCGTGGACCCCGGTAGACAAGGAATGCATTTTACTGAATCGTCCTCTGTGCTGATGGAATTTTCTGCACATGGTAAGCAGTGCCAACAACACTCAGACTCGCCTCGGGTTTTCTTCAAGGCTTTGTACTTTCCAGGTTTGCATGGATCGTGGCAGATGGATT